TCCACCATGGTTGACCCAGGTTCCCGTCACGGGTATGAACTCACAGGCTTCTAAGACAGTGGATGCCTTTTCCTTTCACTGAATGCGTATTTAGCTGCTTGTCCATTTTACTTCTTTCTTTGCTCTTAGATGTGACATGAGGGCCAACTTGGGGAAAAAAATGTGAGCTCAAACAAGAGGGATGCTTTAAATCAATGAATGAGAATTGCCTGCAGAGTCACATGCACACACATGCATGCACACACACTGCAGATGGACATGTGTTGTGAAGGAACGTGAGAGTGTCTAGGCAACCTCAGACCCGCCTAATAAAAGAAAAAGAGAACTCTCTCTTACTCTTTTATTTCTTTTACTAAATGTAAAGCTTAGAAGAACCCTAGCTGGATAAGAAAGTTAGAGTTTCTGTATATCTGATAAAAGTGACCTTTAACCAGAGTGGTTTATGTTTTTCAGACATCCTACACAGAGAGAGTCTGTCTGGAAACCAGGTGGCTTTTTTTTTTTTTGTCTACTCTTGGTGACATTTATGCCTGGAACTGTTCTACTTAGCGGGTGCCAGGAAGCTAAGAGAGGAATCTCAAGGCAGGTATGAAATGATCTCCTTCTCTCTACAAATACCCAGGTGGGAGCAGCCAATTCACCAAGAAACATCCTTTGAGGATGTACTCTGTGCTGGGGACTGTGCTGGGCTCTGGGGCTCCAGAGGTGACAGGGAAGGTGTGCTTGCTGGCCTCATGGGGATTAAGAGATGCTGGGAAGATAGACATTGAGCCGTAGATAGAGGTGAGATGGGAGCCACCAAGGAGATGGGACTACCAATGTCCATGACAGGGGATCTGGCCTAAGGATGAGTCTTGGAGAAGGTTTCCCTGCAGGATGGTGAAAGAGGGCCTGAAGAGGGGTCAGCAAGGTGGGGCTAGGGAGGAGCTTCCAGTAGAGAAGGGGCAGTCAGACAGGAACAGCACTGGGCAGGACAGAGGCCAGTGTGTTGGGTAAACAGAAAGGTCAGTGTCAGGAGGGGAGAGCGAAACTGAAGAGGAACGTAGGGACCAGCACATGCTGAGCCTTGCAGGATTGAGTGAGTGCTTTGTACTTGATTCCAAGAAGCATGGGTAGTCACTAAAGGCTTAACCCCAGGGCAGTGGCATGGCTACTGAGGGGAGTAGGAACTGTGGTTAATGCGTGGAAGCAGAGAGCTCAGGTAGGGCTGTGACCATGATCTCAGCAACAGGTGATGGTGGCTTGAGCCAGGGTAACAGCAGTGGAAATGGGAATGAGGTTTTCAGAAGGCAGAATAGGTAGAAGTTGGTGGTAGATTTGACGGGGTGGGTGGGGTTAGAGAGGAAGAAATCCTGATGCCTCCCAGGAGAGCAGTGATGTCGTTTACTGGGACAGGGTGTTGAGGAGAGGCAGGGAGGAGCAGGGAAGGGACAGAGCTTACTTATGTGGAACATGTTAGGCATAAATCACCTGAGAGGCATCCAAGGGATGTCCAAGAGAAGATGTCAAGAAGGCAACAGACTTGGAACTCAGCGGAGAAGGCTCAGTCAAGATATGCACTGGGGAGCCTTGGCAAAAGCAGCTGACTGGAGTGTGTCAATTTCCAGGAAGAGGGTCTAGGACGAAGCCCTGTACCCTTCTACTCCTGCGGAGCTGCTGCTGGCAGAGAACTGAGAAGTTATTGAGGGGACAAGAGGAAAAGGAGGAGAATACGGTGTTCTGCAAGCCAAGAAAGGAACATATTTCAGGAAGGCAGGGTTGGTTGCTGTGCTGAATGCTGCTAAGCATTACCTTTCTGAAAAAACCTTTGTCACCTTCTTGATTACAAATCTCACCATTGTCTCCAAGAAAGAGTGTTAATTCCTTCTGGAATACCAGGCCTCTCACACACATCTGCCACTATGCCTCTCCAGACTCATCTTCCATAACTTCTCCCACCCAGTGAGGTCTGCCCACCAGCCATGCTGACGTACCCTCTGCTGACACCATGGTAGGAGCGTGTCATTTGCGCTCCAGCATCCATTCTCCCTCTGTCAGTTTTTGTTTGGCGATCTATCCCATTCCCACCCACTCCAGTCCATCTGGTTCTGAGATCATGATCTGCAACCTTTGGTGTGAGGCATGTGGCCAGGTCAACCATCATGAGTGTGTCACCCTCCTCTGACAGTGACTGATGAGGAGTAGGGACAGGAATGTGACTCAGTTGGTCAGATCAGAGTGAATCTCCTGGAAGTTCTGGGAGAAAGATCTCATCCTGTTTTCCAGTGGATCAGAGTGTAAAAGGACATGGCCCCAGCAGTGCTGGCAGCCACTAGGTGATAAGGAGAGAAAAGCTGATCTGAGAATGAGGTTAACACACAAAACTGAGCAGAGCTGAGAGACAGAGAACCTGGCTCTGATGATGACATTGTGTGATCCTTGCTTTGAGTCAGGCCAGAAGCCAAAATGAATCTGGAATTTCGAGTTGGGAAAACCAGTGAATTTCCTTTCCTTTAATTTTTGCTTAGGGTCAGGTTTTCAATGACTTGCAACAGAGTGAACACATGAATTCTAACTAATAGATGCATGCTATTCCTATTACTCAGAATGTCTCCCTGCCTCTCCATCTGGAACATTTAACTGTGGCTCCTCAGTTCAGCCTTTTCTGACTTCTCTGGGCACAGGCCTCCCACATACAGAGCTCAGTATTGCCACATGTCCACTTTGGTATATGTCAGCTTTCCCCACTAGCCTGAGGACAGGTATCACATCCTCAGAAACCCATTGAAATACACAAAACAGACAACACTGTTATACTGCTGATTCCTAAATATGTGGCTGGCAATAATCACTTATCAAATGTTTTCTGAATGACTCCCTGACTGAACAAATGAATGAGCAAATTATAAGCAGAGGCTCAATATCAAGAGATAGGGAGACGCTGAAGAAAGAGAAAAACGGTTAAATAAATGCTTATGCCAATGAAAAATTAAGTGTATCATCTTCAGTAGTGGCCAAGTACACTTTCAAGACTGTATCACTTTAATTATGAAAGTGGCCTCTTAAAAATAAAAAAATAAATAAAGCATGTCCTTCCTCCCAGATGGAATAAACTCATTTAGAGTTACATCAGAATCACTTCACAAGATCCGATATTTGAAGTGCAGTAGGTTGGGTTGGCTGATTTTCCCATAATTATATTAAATGTTCACCATCCACAGAATTTCATTCCAAACCCAAACAGTCCACGGTACTTAATGAGCAGACTCCAATGCTCAGGCCCAGGACCGGCTGCCAGCTTCAATGCTTTGCTAGGTCATCCTTAGATGTCTACGGAAGACATTCAGAGCGAGCCATCGTTACCGTGGTAACAAGTGCAGGAGAGAAAAGGGTGGCTGTCATACATAAGATGAGGATTATGGACAGGAAGCACTGACAAGCCCCTAAGGAAACAACATGAGGTTTCCTCAGTTAAGAATGGCCGTTCAATATTCACATGCTAACAACTGAGTGTCACAACATCCAATAAGGACATACACAAAGCCCATTAGTTCTGGTTGCCAACCAAGAAGAAAATGTAGCAATCGCTGCCTCCCACTATTTTATAATTATGTGTGTGTCTATACATATACATATATGAACCAGGACAGAAACCCATTGAAATACACAAAACAGACAACACGGAGCTCAGTGTTGCACATATTCAATGTAGGGTCCTACTCAGTCTGTGCTTTGACTTTGAGATGATTTTCAAGAAAATTCTGCAACAACAAAACCAAAAATAAACAGTAAGATCACATCAAACTAAAAAGCTTCTGCCTAGCAAAGGAAAGAATAGAGTGAAAATTCAACCTATGGAATGAGAGAAAATATTTGTAAACCATATATCCGATAAGGGGTTAATCTCCAAAATATGTAAGAACTCCTACAACTCAATAGCAAAAAAACCACTAATGATCTAATAAAAAAAATGGGCTAAGGACTTAAATAGATATTTCTCCAAAGAAGATCTACAAATGGCAACAGGTATAGAAAAAATGCTCAGTCATTAATATCAGGGAAATAAAAACCCCAATGAGATACCACCTCGCGCCTGTTAGGATGGTGTTACCAAAGAAACATCAAACAAGTATTGGTGAGAATGCGGAGAAACTGAAACCCTCGCGCACTGTTACTGGGAATGTCAAATGGTGCAGCCACTATGAAAAAGACTACGAAAGTTCCTTAAAAAATTAAAAGTAAAACTACCACGTGATTCTGCAATTCAACTTCTGGGTATTCATCCAAGAATTGAAATCAGAATCTCAAAGTGATACTAGCACTCTCATGTTCACTGCGGCAAGATTCACAATAGCTAACATGCAGAAACAACCTAATGTTTATTAACAAATGGATGGATAAAGAAAATTTGTTACACACATATGAAGGGCTAGAATTTTGTTCAACCTTAAAAAGAAGGAAACTCTGCAATATGCAATGACATGGATGAACCTTGAGGACATTACACTCAATGAAATAAGTCAGTCACAGAAAGACAGACACTGCATGATATGACTGGTTGCCAGGGCTAGGGAGAAAGGAAAATGTGCAACAGGCAGAAAGTTTCAGTGCAGCAAGATAAGTTCTAGAAATCTGGTATACTTATAGTCAACAATACTGTATTGTACACTTAGAAATTTGTTAAGTTGTATATAAAATAATTTTAAAAAATTCTACAAAGACTAAATATGAATTTCTAATGATATTACCACTAGATTCAAAACTAAAATGGGCTTATGGATGTTGTTTTGTTAATTCGGTGATGATTGGGACTTTCAAAGATGTTTTATCTATGTTTCCTGTTAGGAAATCTAGGAAGGATCACGATTTTAAGCTCCTTGTTAATTCTGTCTGTAATTAGTTGTCAAAACTGCAAATATTCATGAATGGCCAGTACATGGAACACAGAAAACCCTGTGAAAAGACTGAAAGAGAAAATGAATGAAAAGCAGAGTTGTGTGAGAGTTCTGTGCTGGTGGTACCTTATCTGATTTTCCTCATGATTCACCAAGAAGAACCAGCGGAACTTCACAACCAAGGGGCTGCAGTTGGTGATGGTAACGTAGCGAATGACCTCAGTATCATTCAGGATGCAGCCAAAATCCAACTCCATTGTCTCAAAGCTAAGGTTGGGGTAATGCACTTCTCCACGCAGGTCCAGGCTGTCTATCTGAGGGTGTTCCACATACTTAATTTCAAGAATTTCTTCTGCCACCCAGTTGATCAGATCGTTTCTGTAGGAGGGGTCAAACTTGATCAGCAGGTTTTTTTCTTCATCAATTTCCAGTTTAATAGGCTACAAACAAGATAATAGGGTAGTTACCAACTTTTGTATTATGCTTTTCTACCCTGCTACATGAAACAGGACAGTCAGACATACACATTATATGTATTTATGGACACATACAGATACACATGTATTTATGCACACACATATTAGTATGAAAAACATACATATACACATTCATATGTAAACAGCTAGTGCGTGTAAGTAAAGATACTTATGTATATGCATACATATTTTATTAGTTGAAAATAAAAGCAAGGAAAATATGGAATTATTTAAAGGAAGAGATTTTGATAAGTGTGTGAGGTTATAAAAATTGAGGAGTTGTAAAGGAAAAGTCAACAATGAAAAACTATTATAAAATATTCTTAACTAAAAATAAATTTGGTTGTGAAATGCCTTTAGGCAAGTGAAAGAAATTCTTTGCTTAAGAAATTTTTAAAAGGGTTTTCTAAAGCACTGGGGGGCAGGGGGACTCTAGAAGTGACCCAGAAAGGGACAGATTAGATAATTTAATTTCTTTTCTAATGTCAGCAATCCTAACTTTTAAGCACAGTGTCATCCACTTTCCGCTGTTTTCTATTCAACTTAAAATGACAGTCCTGAGCTTGCTTAGTACATTTTATTTGTTCTTTTCTGTCTTTTATTCCAATCCCTATGTGTTCCTTGATGCCAGTGTCTGCAGTAACACCTTCTCATAGAAAGGCTGGCTATGAGTTGGCTTTTTTAGGCATTGCTCAATTCCCACATTTAATGGGCATGAAAGCCACCTCGTGGTTTTGCAGCAAGTGCCCTGAGGCAGACAGGAAGAATGAACACAGGAATGAATCTCTTTTCAGTGCACCTCATCTTTCCACTGTACTTAAATGGTTCCGGTATTTAACTGTGCATTTAATGACATGATTAGATGGTTTTGGATGATAAAGCCACTCACCTAATTCAACAACCAGAGAGAGAGTAATGATTCTTCTGTTGGCCTCCTCCCAGTTAAAAGCCAGATCAGCCACCTGACCTTTGATTTTACCACTAGCACAAGGGGCTGGGCATAAGTTAGGATCCACCCTCGTAGATCATGGCATCTGCTGCACTCGGTATTATCACACTTGGTATTTAAATATTTTGAAGATTGACTTAATTTTTTTTTCAGGGAAATGACTTTATTGTTTTGTAGAAATGATACAACAATTTATATTATATATAAACACACAAAGAAGAAATGAGAAATTTATCCTAAATTTCACAATACACAATCAGAGTTAATCATTTGGTAGATGTTCCTCCAGACGTGATGGAGGAATACTAAGATTTTACAAAAATGGAATTGGAGGATAGTATTTTCGAAAAAATATCATTTTTGAATTCCGCCCCCCGCAAAAAACCTGAAGAAATGTTTCACATACAAGGGATATTAATTCCTAAGATTAAAGGCTCTGGGGCCAGACTAGTTAGATCCAAATCCTGGTTTTGCCTCTTACTAGCTGTAAGACCTCGGGCAAAATACCAGGCCTCAGTTTCTCCATCTCTAAAACAGGGGTAATAATAACACTTACCTCTGTTTATGAGGATCTAGTTAATTAACGTATATGTGAGGTGTTTCGGGGCAGTGCCCTGCACATAGTGCAAGGTATTTAAATGGTTGCTATTACTATTATCCCTTTACAATAAAGAAGAGAGATGGCTAAATGTTAAGCAGTTTCAACTTTAGACAATCTCTTATTGACACCTGGCTGTAGAAGGGCATGAAATCAGTACACCTATGCTTCCTTCACCTCCCATTTTTTTATTAGCTATAGTGAATTTTAAAAAGGTGAGGTTTAAAACATTCTGCTCTGAAATCCAACTGTCAAAAGTTGTGTTGTCTCTGTTCCATAGTTAAATGGATCAAGTCCTCCTATCCATCTTTTCCTCATAGCTTTTTTTCATTCCTGAGCCCCTTTTTTAATTCTTTTAGATGACTGCATGTCACTGGCAAATTGGTTTTCAAAGATGAATCTAGCACTCATGCACCCCGTTGGAAAAACTAATTTGCTGAAGACGTGCAATCACCTAGAAGAATCAAATAAAGTGCTCAGGAATGAAAAAATGTCCTTGCATCTTGAGCATCCCTGTCTGTTATCTTTACACACAAAGTGTCTGTTACATTTACACTCAAATAGTATCAAAGGATACTTTAGCAAGTTATAAAATTCTTGAGCCAAATTTCCTTCCCTCAAAACTCTGTAGTCATTGCTGTGTTGCCATGTGGCATTAAGTGTTATTGTTCAGAAGGCTGAGGTTAGTCTAAAATCTTCCCTTGATGGGTCTCTTCTGCTTAGATACCATAGAATTCCTTGGTTGTCAATAAGTCCTGTAACTTTACTAAGATATGTCTCACTCTTGAATATTCCCTATCATTTTGTCCTAGCACAAGGTGAGGCCTTGTTTCTAAAAATATTCCATATCATTTTGTCCTTGGACAAGGTGAGGACTTATTTCTAAAAATGTTAGAAAAATATTGGCCGGGCGCGGTGGCTCAAGCCTGTAATCCCAGCACTTTGGGAGGCCGAGGTGGGTGGATCACGAGGTCAAGAGATCGAGACCATCCTGGTCAACATGGTGAAACCCCATCTCTACTAAAAATGCAAAAAAAAATTAGCTGGGCATGGTGGTGCGTGCCTGTAATCCCAGCTACTCGGGAGGCTGAGGCAGGAGAATTGCAGGAGGCGGAGGTTGCGGTGAGCAGAGGTCGCGCCATTGCACTCCAGCCTGGGTAACAAGAGCGAAACTCCGTCTCAAAAAAACAAAAAACAAAAAACAAAAAAATATTTCACTGATATTTTGGATAGACAGAACAATGAAAAAGCAAGTTGACTTTGTGTCCATCCCCCCATCTCTTACCTAAGCCAATAGTTTCCCTCCCTTGAGGAAGCCAAGGTTAAAAGTGTCTTGTTTACCTTTGTAGAGATATTCTATGAACATAAAATCATATTTGTAAATATTCTTTTATTTTTTGCACATGATAGCATATCATATACACTGTTCTATATTTCAGTTTTCTTGCTGGCAGATCACTTGATATCAGTACTATGAAGCTGCTTCATTCTTTCTAACAGCTGCATTTCATTCCATCATATAATTCTGCCATCTTTTATTTAACCAATGTCCTATTGATGGATATTGGTTCCCAATCCTTTGCTCTTATAATCAACATTGCAGTGAACATCCTTGCATATAAGTCATATTGTGTATTGTGTTTATGTCTGTAGGATAAATTCTCAGGAATGGAATTACCAGGTGAAAGAGTATGAGCATTTAAATTATTGATAGCTACCACCATATTGCCTTCCAATGTACAACATACACTGTCTAGTACTGCAGGAGATTCTTTCCACATGCCCTTCCAAAACACAGCACTAGCCAATTTTTGCTCTTTGCCAATCTGATAGGTTAAAAACTGTATTTCATGGTCATTTTAATTTGTATTTTCACTCATATGAATAAAGTTAAGCATATTTTTTTTTCCCTTCTGTGAAGCCCCTGTTATTTTCTTTGGCCTGTTTTTCTGTTTGATTGTTGGTATTTTTTCTTGTTGGGTTGAAGTTCTTTATTTTTTAAATTATGTGTGTGAGTTTCTTAAAATTATACACACGATCAATATAAAACGTGAAACCGTACTATAAGAGTTATTATAAAAAAACAGTAGTTCCTGACCTACTCTGTCATTCTGCTGACTCAGAGGCCACTGCTTCTCAATTCTTATAGTAGGGTTTGTCTTTTAAATAGTTTCCTTGGGCAGAGAGGTGGCCATGAAGCTGTGGACACAGCCAGATATCTGAATGTGGAGTGAGGAGGGCTTATTCTGGGGTCCTAACACGGGCAACATTAGAAGGACTAGATTTCCCCAGATATCTTAACCAATTTTATTTGGAGAAGAGCACTATTCTTCTTAAGATAAAAGCCAGCTGTCCATGCTTCCTGAATGGGGGCTGGTGCACAAAGAATCCCTATAATTATTGCCCTGTCCTCATAATTGTTGCCTCTGATCCCAGAGTTACACCAGACCACAGGGCAGAACAATTGCTTCACCTTTTATAACTTCATTTGAACATTTTCTGGGATGCAGATTTTTTGTGTCTTTTTTCCAACCCACTCCAAACCTCATTCTATCTTCCAGAAATTGACTTCAATCTCTCATTATTTGGAGATGCCCATCCTCCTCCCCCTTTATATTATTGCTCTGGCTTCCTTCTCTTTTGAAAATTTCTGTTTATCTTATTAAGGTCTCAGAAGGGGCTGGGCATAGTGGCTCATATCTGTAATCCCTGCACTTTAGGAGGCTGATTCAGGAGAAATGCTTGAGCCCTGGAGTTCAACAAGACCACCCTGGGCAGCATAGCAAGACTTCATCTTTATAAATTAAAAAATTAGCTGGGATCAGTGGCAGGCATCTGTGGCCTCAGCTACTCAGGAGGCTGAGGTGGGAGGATCACTTGAGCCAGGAAGTTGAAGCTGAGCAAGCTGACATTGTGCGGCTGTGCCTGTTACTCCAGCCTAAGTGACAGAGTGAGACCCCATCTCAAAAAAAAAATAAATAAAAAAAGATCTCAGGAGGGATAAGAGTGGGCCTTGTCCACCGCCCAGACTGAGAAAGGTGCGCACGTCTGAATCTTCCTTTTTCCACCCATTTGTTCTCTGTGCTCTGAGTTCACTCTGCATCTCCTTTTCAATACCTGCATCTCCTCCTTGGGTTCTTTCTAAGGCCAGGCCATATTCTCTGTAATTGGTGTGAGAATGTAGGGAACACATATTTGTGCCTCTGGTCTTCTTTCTTGGGTGCTTCCCCTTGCAGTTAGTTTTCATCTGTTTTTGGCTTATAATCATTTCCTCTTTTCCTTTCTCCCTTCGAAGATCTTAGCTAGTTTCTTCTGAGCTCCTGCTTGAATGAGACTGTTCATTCAAAGCATCTGTGATGGAGGGGCAGGGTGTGCGCAGCCCACAGCCTCCGGTTGGTTACTGATGGGACACGCTGTCACCAAGTATGCTGTCCCCACTCTCCCCAAAGATCTATCTCCCAGAGTGTGGCTCATGGTAAATCTCCTTAAGTCTCAGCCTCCCTCTTCTGAGACCTCATGATTGCTGTCTGCCCCCTTCTCCTTCATACCCCATCTTCATTAGCTGTTTCCCTATTGAGGGAGGCTGAGCAGGCTGGAAGTTGTGGCTCATGCCTGTAATCCCAGCACTTTGGGAGGCCAAGGTGGGCAGATCATGAGGTCAGGGGTTCAAGACCAGCCTGGCCAATATGGTGAAACCCCGTCTCTACTAATAATACAAAAATTAGCCAGGTGTGGTGGCATGCACCTGTAATCCCATCTACTCAGGAGGTTGAGACAGGAGAATAGCTTGAACTCGGAAGGCAGAGGTTGCAGTGAGCTGAGACTGTGCCATTGCACTCCAGCCTGGACAACAGAGCACAACTCTGTCTCAAAAAAAAAAAAAAAAAAAAAAAAAAGAGAGGGAGGCTGAGCAAAACATGGGGTCTGGTTTCTCCCTCAGTTCTCCTCTCCTAGAGTGTCACAGGCCCATGGACCTACCATTCCCAATGCTATCCTCACAGCCTGCAGAGGATCACAGGGACAGTCTTGGAAGGTTGTTTAGAGAACACTGCATCCTGTTGCAGACTAGTGGCTGGGACAAGCCCATAACCTCCTCCCTTAGCCCCACTCAGACTTCTCCGTATTCAGAAGTGGGCTCACTGGTCTGGGGACGGGACTTGGCTATTTCCTAATTTCCTTGAGCATGGAGGTTTGGTTGGACTTGAGGGAGGAGAATGAAAAGATCTTAACTATTATCAGTAGAAGTCACTGCTATCTGTGGATCGGCTTCATTAGAAGGGGCAGGAGCGAAGGGTGAATTTATTGAGCTGAAGTTCTCACCGTGAATGGTAGTGTTCTACAGATGGGTAGTGGAATTGATTTACCACTCATTTTAAATTTTCTGTAGTCTTCCCTGTTTGCTTCCCAGATCCTTTACATCTTTCTGAGCTGAAGTTGGGTGGTATATCACTACTCTTTTCTTCCTTTATCACACCCACCCGACTCTGACAGCTTGCCAGAACAGCCCCCTGTTGAGGTACCTCGGGAGTTGCCGGCAGCAGGGATTTATCAGTCTCACATATAAAGAAGGGTTCAGATGTTGACAGCAACAAGTTCACAGGCAGGGTGGAAATGTTCTTTATGGCCAAGGGCTGGTAATCAGATTTCAGGATAGTGTTAGGTTTCTGCAAAAACAGAAAAAGAGGAAACAAATCAAGTTATGGTAAATACAGTAATCTTTAAGCAACAGTCTCAGGTTCATTGTTTAGAAAAAATTTAGTGATCTCTCTCTCTTTTTTCGTGTGTGTGTCTGTGTGTGTGCGTATACACACATATATATGCATATATAAGTAGATGTATACAAACATTTTTCTCCCTTGTAGAACTTTAGATAAATCATGTGGAGGCCAGGCATGGTGGCTCACACCTGTAATCCCAGAACTTTGGGAGGCTGAGGACGGTGGATCACCTGAGGTCAGGAGTTGGAGACCAGCCTGGCCAACACGGTGAAACCTTGTGTCTACTAAAAATACAAAAATTAGCCGGGCATGGTGGTGGGTACCTGTAATCCCAGCTACTCTGGAGGTGGAGGCACAAGGATTGCTTGAACTCGGGAGCTGGAGGTTGCAGTGAGCTGAGATTGCACGACTGCACTCAGCCTGGGCGATAGAGTGAGACTCAGTTTCAAGAAAAAAAAAAAGATAAATCATGTGGAATGATGTGTGGTAGACTACTGAAAAATGGACCTACATAACCCAGCCAACGCAGATTAGATTTTTTACCCCCTTGGCGCTCAGTTGCAAAAAACCTACACAAGCCATGCTTCTGGATAAACTATTACTGTAGGGGTTTCCACAGTGTCACAAGACAAAGTCTAAAAAATTAGTTATATCTTATGCATAAACATAGCTATCATTATAATGAATAAAACATTTTTCCCTTGTATAATATTTTTCCATGCTCAAAATACCTGATTTGTAAATATCTTGTCATACTGACGAATGCTTACACCTATTTCCTGTAAACGTTTCCTGATAACACCAGGATAGTTGATTTTTAGAAGCATCTTTTTACGTTGTTAGATACATCAGATTTAATTTTTCAACTAGAGAAGGTAACAGAAATGAATCTCAAGTTGGAAGTTTCTGGCCAGACTGGATTTTTCTCATTCTGATGTCAGAGCTCACACTATTCCCTAGAAAGGGCGTTCTTTAATATCAGAAGAGAGTGACCATGAGCCTCAATCTCTGGCCTCCAAAAAGAACCTCCCCCCAATTATCCCTTGGGTCTTCTGACAAGGCTAGCCTGTCTTTCCTAAGCCTCCTTGTTTTCATTTGCATTTTCTCTTTATGTCAATTTCAGTTACGCCCTCCTATTTTCGTATTTGGATCTGACTCTGTCTTCCAGTTCTATACCTTCCACTGTGGTTCCTGGGTGAGCCTGAGTAACCAGTTTCCCTTGAGCCTCATGCCTGGGTCACCTGTGCACTCCCAAGGTGACTTCGGGGGTTAGGTCTGGCATTTACTGTGAGATACCAGCCTTTGTTTCCCTCCCTATAATATGGGGCAGCACAGAATTGGACTCACCTTGCTTTGCGGGTTTTATACTACAGTTTAGGGAGGGATGAAGCAGCACTTTGGGGCCTACTAAGGCTGCATGGAGAACTGTCCACCCAGTGACCTTCCCTGAAGGCTGCTGTGTCACTGCAGATGGCTTTGAAGCGCAGAAGTCACACTTGGTTGGTTTTGGCAAGAGGCCATGTAGAGGCTACTGATGAGAAGGAGTCGAGCACAGAGAAGCCATTCTATTTTAAAATGACCCCTTCTCTTTGGGTTGTTCGTCTCCCCAAATATCAGCAGACAGAATTTGCTGCTGGTACTTCATGAGGAAAAGCGGCTGCTAGTTTCAATTGACCTTTTCAATCCCACAGAGAAGTGGTTTCATCTCCGTTGCTTATGAATGGTATGATGGTTATAAAGGAGATCAGATCTGAGGAAGCAGTTATAGAAAAACTCTTCCCATGGACAGGGTCAGTATTATTATATTCTAATGTAACAAATCAGATGCACTGCCTTGAGCTGAAAACAAGGAGACAGAACTGATAATTGGATGTTACACAATTAAATCTGAATATTGAGACCTAAGAAGTCTCTTGTATGCTGGGTAACGAAGTTGCATTTCTTCGTTGTCCCTGACATGGATTAAATGTGAGCAGGAAATGAAAATGAAAAATACAGTAATAGGACAGACTTCAAACTTCCCATCTTTGTGGGGAAGGAGAGAAGGGTGGAAAAAAAATAAGTGGGGAATTGTAGCTCAATTCACTTTTTAATTCAATAAGAAGTTACTGCCATATTCAAAATGTTTCCATATTTTAATCTAGTAAAAAACTCGAAGAATAGACATTTAAACAAAAACATGTTCCCCCACTCTGCCCAAAGGCAAAAGGATAGAGAGAAGAAAAAGAGCACTCCCCACACATTTTTATGAGTGTTTATGGGCTTAGAAAAATGTAATAAGAAACCAAGCTGCATATTTAACATATATTACAACGTCTTGCCCAGAATAGCTATTCAATCAATATTCACTGAGTTTTCTCCCAGTAGAGACATTCAGAGAAAATACGATGCCACCAACTTCAGTGCAGCTGTTGCTAGTAAATATCTTTCCTGATTACTTACAAATGAAGAATTTAAAATGGAGCAATAAAGGTTAATGACTGTAGCAGGAACTCTTGTAGTATTTTCCTTTTACATGTCTCATGGAGCTTGTTGACTTCGTGTTCAGCTTGGGTTTGAGTGACAGGAAGTTAAACTAACAATGTCTACCTCCCCTACTCAGCTGTTAAGCCATGGTCTTTTAAAATTTAATTTAAGTTTATTTTATTTTGCTTTAAGTCCTGGGATACACGTGTAGAGGTGCAGGTTTGTTACATAGGTATACCTGTGCCATGGTGGTTTGCTGCACCTGTCAAACTGTCGTCTAGGTTTTAATCCCCACATGCATTAGGTATGTGCCGTAATGTTATCCCTCCCCTAGCCCCCCACCTTCCAACAGGCCCTGATGCGTGATGTTCCCCTCCCTGTGTCCATGTGTTCTCATTGTTCAACTCCCGCTTATGAGTGAGAACATGTGATGTTTGGTTTTCTGTTCCTGTGTCAGTTTGCTGTGAATGATAAGCCATGGTCTTTGCTGTGTCTTTTCTGCCTTATATATTTTAGGTGTCTGATAAACCTGCTCAAAAGTTACCTGTTGATTTGAACTGAACTTGTGCCTCTTGCCTCTCCTACTGGACCACAAGCTCCTTTCATCTAGCAGAACATTTTCCCCGTGGTGTGATACTCAATAGATACTAATTTGTTTTGATGAACAAAATATGATGGAATCCACTACCAAAATAAATGGTCTTGAACACTCTTCTGCAAACCACCTGGTAATGAAAGGAACCCCAGTTGATTCCCCATGACTGGTTAGGCACCGCCACACTCAGTGCTTCTGCGGGACAGCACAGATCACACTGTGGGGCAGTGACTTACTTAATGTTTGGTCTTCCCAGCCAGCTGTGAAATTTATCAGGGAGGACTCTTCTCACTGTTGTATCTCTAGCCCCCAACACTGTGCCCAGCACGTGACAGGCCTTAACAAACATTCTATTCAGCAGCCAGCATGATGGTTTCAGTGAATCAATCTGACCATGTCACTCCCTTCCTGGAAGCCCTCCAATGGCCAACCAGAACAAAACCCAAAGTTCAGATAATGCCTCCCAGGCAGGCTGCACATCCCCAGATGGAACTTTTGCCATCCTTGGCACATTCTCTGTCCAAGGTGGCCTTTCCTAACCCGAGCCCTTTGCATGAGCTGTTCCCTCTGCCTGCAATTCTCTCCCTGTCCCTTGTCACCAGACTAGCTTCTATTTTTACTTTGAGTCTTTACTTGAGACACTTGCTCAAGAAAGCCATCTGTGACCACACGGACAAACAAGGCCATACCTCCAGATACATGCCCTCCCAGCACCTTTCACCTCTTCTTCATAGCATTGTTTATAACAGTGACTTAAACAATTATATTTGAATAATTTGTTTACAGTCTATAACCTGAACCAGTCTTTTAGCTTTGGTTCTATCTGGCTCACTAGATTTTTGGTACCAGCTCAATCTCCAATTCAGAACAGGCATTCCTTACATGTCTTGAATGGTCACTGATTCTGCATGGAAATGGCCTAGGAGTAGGTCAAGCCTACTGTGATATCTCCTCCACCCCACCACTTCACCATCCTGACCCCCTGCCCTGAGCAGCAGCCATTACCTTCTCTCCCTTGTCCCCTAACTCTGACATTTACTTTCTGCCCTGATGTAGAGCCATTTAAGTTAAAGAGTGTGAATCTAATACTTGAAGTTGATTATTCTCCAGCTTAACCTGTATCTCAGTGTCCTCACGTGCATCACAGGAATGATAACAGAACCTGCTGCATACGGTTGCTGTGAGGGACTCTTGCGAAAATGTATGCAAAGAACATGGCTCCATGTCTAACATATGCTAACCAATAAGTGGTCGCTATTCTTACTGAGTATTATGATTATTGATAATACTCCAATCCTTTCTTTGCCTTGAGTTTATTTTACCTGATTTAAGTAAGATGACTGACTAAAATGCATACTCAGTGCACTGGAATACCACTTCCCTTAGGTCTTAGACATCAGGAATGATAGAAATAGAATTTCCGCAACAACTTACATGTCAAAGGATTGTAGGTTTAGATTCAGATGTTTTAGTTGAATGTGTACTGGTCTCTGAAGCTTGAAAGACATGGGCTGAATTTTGGGTGGAAAATGATGCCCATTCATTTAGCTTTCAAAATAGCAATGTAAACATGCTGACCCCAGTCGGAGTACCCAGCCCTCGCTAGCACAGCCCACTGACCTTCTCCAGTTGGTAGATGAGCTGTTTGGTGGAGAGCTGGATGAGAGGCGCAATGAACTCGCAGGTGATGTTCACAGTCAACAACAAGCTCTTCCCCTTCTGCATCCCGATGATGGCGTGGCACACCAGCTTCTCTTTAACTATCTGCCAATGAGATAAGCCAGCATTTTGGGAACAACTATAACTTAATACTTACTCAGAATACTTATTTACTCACTGAGAGAAAACTGATTCCCAACTTCCTGCCCGGGGACACAAGGAAGAGCACATTTTTCTGAATAGCGTGCTTCGGGGACTGCTCTTTGTCACATGATTATGTTATTGTTAGTTAAACATGACTTTGATGGATTCTGTATTTATTTCTGACTGCCCTGAGGCAGTCGATTTACATTCAGTTCTATATATATAGTTATATTATGATCTATTATACATCAGGAGGTGTGTTGGGTGCTGGGCGTACAAAACAGTGATGAACAAGACAGATAAAATATTTCATGGGGCTTATAGTTCAACAGTAGTTATATGATTTCTTATTAAATTAATTATTGCAAACTGTAGTTGAAAAACTTTTGACTTTCTTCTTCTTCTTTTTTTTTTTGAAATTGAGTTTTGCTCTTGCTGCCCAGGCCGAAGTGCAATGGTATGATCTCAGCTCATTGTAACCTCTGCCTCTTGGGTTTAAGCAATTCTCCTGCCTCAGCCTCCCAAGTAGCTGGGATTACAGGCCCACACCACCACACTTGGCTAATTTTGTGCTTTTAGTAGAGACGGGGTTTCTCCATGTAGGTCAGGCTGGTCTCGAACTCCCGACTTTAGGTGATCCACCCGCCTTGGTCGCCCAGAGTGCTGGGATTATAGGCATGAGCCACCATGCCCAACCAAATTTTTGCCTTTTATACTTAAACATTTAAAGATAATGCATTAGAAATTAATATTTCCTTGGACTCAAAAAGCCTAGATTTTCATAAAGCAGAAAGAATCAAAAGTGAACTTGTAGCATGAGGAGGTTAGACTGAAGAGTGCTCAGGTTAGGGTTGCTAATGCATTCCAATCTCTCCTCAATTATGTAGCATGATTTAGAAGAACATTCAAGGAAGTTTTAGTAAAGCTTAAGCTGAGTTTACTCCTCTAACAGCTCAGATTTAAAGCCTTTAAAAATATGGCCAACTCTTGATAACCACATTATAAACATGCTCTTTCAACAGGCTGTCAGTGTCTTGAGATAAGGGGCTGTGTTCTATTCATCTTTGCATCCTCAGTGCCTAGCACAGTATTTGTCACATGGTCTACACATACTACTCTCTGAATAACAGAGAGAAAGAACACATTACCTTTTCCATAATGAGAGAAAACTCCACTTTTCTTGGACTGAGGATGTGTTTGACCTGAGAATACTCTGTGAAGAAATAATCTAATGAAATAAATTGGAATCTGTGACCTTAGAGAAGTGAAGCAATGGACTAGCTTTCCAGCTGTGTCTACTGGGAGACAAAGGTCTTACTGCTTCCTATTTTATGTGGGGAAAAGTCAGTATTACATCCAAATTTGGGGACACAAGCAGGATCTTAAGCAAGCATCCTTTCTCATCTACAAGGTCTGCATTTTGTGGGGAGGGAGAAACTCTTAAGTGACTTTGAAAGCCTTGCCTTTAGTTTTTTAATGATTTCCACACCTGCAAGAGAATAGGGATAAACAGACCCATGATTTGGATTTACTGAAATGTTTTGCGTAGAATGTATGGAGATCATGTAAATAAAGGCAAGGAATCAGAGTTACTGAAGATAAATGTGACTCCTTAATTAATGCACAAACAGAAGATGTTTTGAAATGGGGGTTGTATTCAGGCTGGAAGGAAAGGAACAGGGTGTCCCAATACCTGAATAGGAGAGACAGCCCAGAGTATCTGCATAAACACCCTTTTTGAATGAATATTAAGTTAATCCTGCTACGTGTTAATAGGAGAATTTGCTTTGGCTGAAAACTGGATGTTTTCTACCACAGACTTGCTGGCTGGTCACTGCTCATCCTGGGTATGATAAGATTTATTTATCATAGGAACAAGGTAATGTGTTCCTTCTCTCTGTTAACTCTGCTTTAAGATTGGGTTCACAGTAGCTATAGAAACAAACCGAAGACTGAGCAGAGCTGTACCCTAAAAGCAATGGATGCTACCATGGTAACTCAGGGCTATGCACAATCCTTGAGAAACCATATCCAGGATAAATGTCAAGGGATGTTCCTAAGAAATAGATATAGTAGAGATTTATTCAGGAAAAAAACAATAGCTTCCAAATGTGCTGTCCCCTTACCCTGGGAGTAGCAGAATAGGCTTCAAGTGTCACATCGATTGTCTGGTCTGGGTACAGCTCCATCGTGGCGGGGTGGAGCTGAAATACGGGGCTCTGTGGATCCCTGGGCTCCTGAGAGCCACTGGGCTGAGGCCAGCCATGAGCATGTCCCTTCTTAACCCGGCCCTTCTTCCTCAGCTTGGCCTGGGGATGGAAGCTATCATTCATCCAGAACAACTGTTGGACCCGACGTCCCTTGTTGGTCAACTTAAAGCGGTAATAATGGGTATCCAGGCTGGAAAAGAAGAGGCAGGTATTGAGAGGATTCAGTTTAGGGATGTTCTGTTCAGCTCTACACCCTTGGGATTTACTCCTCTGTAAGTACTTTAAAAAGTGAGCAACAAAGGAAGCCTTTTTTTTTTTTAAATGTAGGAAGACTAAGTCATGATGGCTCTAGGAACTAACCAGTGATGGGACAAGGTAGTATCTACTTAAGGGGCCAACAGGTGTGGAATCACAGACCTGGGTTTGGTCCCAGAGTTGGCATCACCAGGTAAGGGGCTGTGGAAAATCCCCACTCCTGCTCAGTCTTCCCCAGCAGGCCCCACACGCTGCAGGACACACACAGTTGACATGAAAAGCAATCCCATTTAGAGAAATAGCTCTGAGGAGTGAGAGGAAAGCAGAATACCTGCTGGAGGAGAAGCAGGTTTCAAGCTGTGCTGAGTAAATTATTCCCGGCTGAGTGGAACGTCCTGTGATGATGGGCTCAATTTGAAGGAAACGTTGAAGAAAAACAATGCAAAGAGGACTAAAGCTTAGTCCTCTAAGCTTTAACAAAGACCAGGGGGACTGCAATGGGCCAGAACGCCACCAAGATTGGTCACCTATCTCACACTAATGTGCTTTAAAGATGTTGCAGTTTCATTTATTCACTTCTCATTCATTCATGTATTCCATACATATTTATTAAGAACAACCTGACTGCCTGGCAATTTGCTAAAAAAACTGGGATTTCTAAGATATTGGATATGATTCAAATGTGTTTTTGTTTGTTTGGGCTTTTTTCCCTCACAGGCTTACTTTAAAATATTTTCTTAGGGAAAAACTCATCTCAGGACTGTTTTTTTATTTTTTAAAATTTTACTAGGCTTTGAGATTTCACCCCATCTGTTCCTCCTTCGGAAATGACATCATGCCTGGTAAGCTGAACCATCAAATAAAGAATCAGAAGGAGTATTTGCTAGTTGACAGGTATATCCATTCCTATCTAAATGTGTTGTGAATATGTGTCCACAGGGCATGCTCGAGAGCTTCTTTACTTGGCAGTTTATGGCTAACAGTAGGCTTTTAGGGAAAATAACAAACAACATATACTGTTTATACAAACCATATACTGTTTATAAAAAACACATACTGTTTATAAAGACTAGGCAGGATGTCTGTTACTTATTCACAGTATGTCTTTCAATCATTATGGCAAGGATTTACTACCATTTTATAGATCAAGAAACGGGAGGTCGGCAAACCTAAGGGAGTCACTTAAATGTATGCAGTTAGAGCCTGGTGCAGTGGCTCATGCCTGTAATCCTAGCACTTTGAGAGGCCAAGGCAGGTGGATCACCTGAGGTCAGGAGTTTGAGACCAGCCTGACCAACATGGAGAAATCCCATCTCTACAAAAAATACAAAAAATTAGCCAGGTGTGGTGGTGCATGCCTATAATTCCAGCTACTTGAGAGGCTGAGGTGGGGGATCACTTGAACCGGGAAGGCAGAGGTTGTGGTGAGTCGAGATCACGCCACTGCACTCCAGCCTGGGCAACAAGAGTGAAACTCTGTCTCAAAAAAAAATCAATTAGAAGTGGGGAGCACATGGGTATGGGTATTTCTTTAGACCAGAGGTTGGCAAACTTTTTCTTTAAAGGGCTAAATAACAAATATTTTAGGTTTATTGGGCTACATGGTCTCATAACAGCTACTCAATTTTCCCTTGCAGTATGAAAACAGCCGTGGGCAATAGTTAAAAAATGGGCACGGCTATGTTCCAATAAAACTTTATTTACAAAAGCAGGCAGAGGGGTATAGTTTACCCAGCCCTGCTTTTGGCAATTCTGGAGATTGCGGGCATCATGATTTTATGTCAGAAAGTTTAGGCAGAGGGCAAATTAGCAACTAAAAGGTACAGTTTGGTTTTATATTCAAAGAAAACTGTTAGCCAAACCTCCAATTCCATGTAAGTATCTGAATTTCCTTTGAAGGCTACTTGACATTTGCAGATTTAAAAGAACATGTAATGAGGTCTGGTTTGGCATGTATTGTTTCCTGCAATTATATTTGCGTGCACGAAAAGCAATTTGAAACTAGAGGCACTGGTATGCAATCACAAACTACCCTAGCTTATGGCCAATAGACAGGAAGGGAGGAAGAGGCTTATATTTAGTCGACTTGAAAAATATAATTGGATAGCTGCCTAAAAGCATGCAGTTCAACCATATGACTTGCTTTTTACTTAATTTTCTACTAGTATATGGTATTTTCAATCAAGTCCTATATTTTGTAGATGGAACAGAGGGAAGGATTTTCGGGAGGGCTCCTAACTGATTATTGTCAGTCACATCTTCTCCAAGCACAGCATGTATGACTTGATTTCAGAGCCTATGAGCTCAGAAGGTAGGGGGAGTACCTTTCTGAGATCCGTTCGTAGCACTGCAACAAACAAGTTCAAATTCAACTGGCCCCAGGAGCCAACTAGTGATAGTGACATGACTCTCCTGAGGAATCAAGACTAAATCCCTGCACGTGCCCTCTACACTTAGCACTCAAACCTCATGTATACATTTATTTATTTAATTCAGGATGGGGTCCTGCTTTGTTGCCCATGCTGGAGTTGCAGTGGTGTGATCCTGGTTCACTATACCCTCAACCTCCCAGGTACAAATAATCCTCTCACCTCAGCCCCCCAAGTAGGTAGGACAATAAGCATGTGCCATCATGTGAGGTTAATTTTTTTATTTTGTGGAGATGCAGGTCTCCCTCTGTTGCCCAGGCAGATCTCCAATTCCTGGCCTCAAGCAGTCCTCCCACCTCAGTCTCCCAAAGTAAAGTGCTGGAATCATAGGCATGAGCCACTGCTCCTGGCCCAAACCCTGTGTGTGTGTGTGTGTGTGTGTGTGTGTGTGTGTGTGTAAGACAGGGTCTCACTCTGTCATCCAGGCTGGAGTGCAGTGGTGCAACCTTGGTTCACTGTAACATCTGCCTCCTGGGTTCAAGTGATCCTCCTACCTCAGCCTCCTGAGTAGCTGAGACTACAGGTACCTGCCACCAAGCTCAGAATTTTTTGTATTTTTGTATAGATGGGGTTTCGCCATGTTGTCCAGGCTGGTCTTGAATTCCTCAGCTCAAGTGATCCTCTCGCCTTGGCCTCCCAAAGTGCTAGGATTATAGGCCTGAGCCACCATACCTGACCCAAACTTCATTTTTAAATCCACATTTAGATTGTTCTGCTCAGAGGTTCCTATACTGTACCACATCTTATGTACATATTTAGACCCTTTAGATTTTCCTGAGTCATCAGACAATGCCAATGGAAACCATCTCAGTTGTTGGTGCTATGGTGGGGAGTTGAGTAGAGGACATAACCTTTGAAAAGGCTGCCGGCTCCGCAATACCTGATAAAATACACTTGCAATAAATATTCACCTTCCTCAGTATGTTCTACTTAGGTTACCACTAAGTGGTATCTGTATTTTCCAAATTTGTGGAGAGGGATTAGCAGTGTATTGGAATCAAAGGGGAGAAATTATGGTTATGAGTCTACATTAATCACAGAGTAGTCAGTTTGAGAGAAGAATGCATTTCCTACAAACTGTCTTATTCTTGCATGTAGAGGGACACAGAGTAGCGAATGCAACCAAGCTATGACTAGAGTATGTCTTCTCGTTGCCGACGTACCCATCAGGAGGTGGAAGAGTGAGGACAGGAGAGGAGAGGGACTGAGGAGGCTCATTTTAATGACTTAAAATGATTTTCCAAAGTGATGCTCAGCATATGCAGCATATGTGATTATCTATAAAAATTGGTCCATGAGATTTCCTTACCTAAAACGTGCCCCCAGATTGAGTTCTGGAGCAAAGGGCTTATCTGAAACAATAGTGGAACCAGTTCCGGAAGCCTGAACAGGAATCTGATAGGTACTGCTATTTTCAATGTCCAAAATGACACAGTCTTTGAATGTCAGTATGTCATTCAGGTTGGCAGTCAGTGCCAGCTGAACATCAGTTTCTGGAGGAACCATGCCTTCACTGGGTTCAATCGTCCAGAGGGATTTTTTGTGTGCCTGCAACACAAGAGTACAAGTTAACAGGGAAGATATTCTTGGCTTTTCATTCTATAGATGTCAAAGCCCTCTACACTTCAAATTGTTGGCACTGTGGAATTCAACATCAGAGACACACATTAGTTTTTGAATTAAAGCAGCTGGATGTTTGTTGGTTTTTCTTTTTTCAAAAAGCAATCTGATTCTGAAGAGCAAACCTACCATTTTACTTTTGAATACTCTGTGAAGATTCTTCCCATTTCTTTCCCAAGGTAACAGACCAATTCTCCAACAAGCTTATAATTATTATCTGCTATAATCTCCAGATTCTGAGATACCAACAGAACGTACAATATTCTTTATGGAGTTTGAAATTTTTATTTGTATTTATTTTTCCTTTGATTTTATTATTTTTTTGGAGTTTGAAATTTTTAAACGAAATTGTTTTTCAAATGCAACATTTCTAATGTTATAGTGAGGATGAACCAATTTCATTAATAAGTACAATATTAGAAGTCATCTGCATTTCTAATAATTTATAACAATTAATAATTAGCCTCATCAGAATTTCATTAGCTAAAATTACAAACTTATTTTGAAATATAGTCATGTGTTGCTTAACGACAGGGACACATTCTGAGAAATGTGCCGTTAGGTGATTTCGGTGCTGTGTGAACACTGTAGAGGGTACTTACACAAACTGAGACAGTGGAGCCTACTACACACCTAGGCTATGTGGTATAACCTGTTGCTCCTAGGCTGAAAACCTGGACAGCATGTTTCTATACTGAATACTGTAGGCAACTGTAACACAGTAGTATTTGTTTATCTCAACATATTGCTGTTTCTCAGCCTCATCTGCATTTTTGGTTGGTTATTTTCTGTGCTTCGTTTTTGATGCTTTCTTTTGAGCTGTCTTCCAGTCCACTAGTTCTCTCTTCAGCTATGTGTAATATACTGTCAAACACATCTATTCTGTCCTTAATTTTGATTTCTATGTTTTTGAATTCAGGTGTTGGCATTTTATATTTTTACAAGGTTTTCATCTCTTGAGGACTTTTATAATTCGGACTATGACATTCAACTTATTAGCTACTACTACTAATAATTAGGGACTACTCCTCCTAGCCCTTCCAAGTCTTCTGCAAATTTAATGGGCAAATTGTTTTTGGACTTTTCAAGTAAATATAACAAATACATATTCAAAGGCTCTGAGGTCCAGGGAAATACATAAACACCCCAAGGAGCTGACAGCAATGACATTAGTGAGATCAATATTTCAACAACAGAAATAGAATTCAGAAGGAAGCCAGAGTGAAAGTGCTTCTGGTGAATCTGACAAATGTACCGCACAAATTTTCTTTTCGCTCCAAATGTGAAATTGGGCTTAATCATCAGGTGGTGTGATTCCTGATTATATTGCACTATATTATTAATATTAATAAAATTCTAATTTGTTTAATTGCCTACGTAAACAATTGCCTCAAAGTTAATAAAAAGCATCTAATAAAAAACATCCTTTTCAATGAGGTCATGCCCTTTGCAGGGACATGGATGGAGATGGAAGCCATTAGCTTCAGCAAACTAACACAGGAACATAAAACCAAACACTACATGTTCTCACTTATAAGTGGGAGCTGAATAATGAGAACACATGGACACAAGGAGGGGAAAAACACATACAGGGGTCTGTTGGGGCCGGGGCGGCGGTGGGGGAGAACATCAGGAAAACAGCTAATGCATGCAGGGCTTAATACCTAGGTGATGGGTTGATAGGTGCAGCAAACCACCATGGCTCACATTTACCTATGTAACAAACCTACACATCCTGTACATGTTCCCTGGAACTTAAAATAAAATAAAATAAATCCTTTCCTGATTTTGACTGCTTTGTCATTTAGATTGATTCTGAAAGTCCTGCTTTATTTTGGGAAAGGCATTAATAAGAAGTACATATGTGGATTAATCTTCATAGAAAATATTTATTGATTACCAATATGCACTGAGAAAAAGCTGCAAAAGAAGAGATGTGGAGACTATTTAGATGCTTCCAGGAAAACTGAGAGGAAAAGTCACATTCTCCAGTACACCAGAAAAGAGTCTGTCTGATTATTCCTTCATGAACGTTCTTTGTGAATCTCCCAGGAAGCTTTGTGAAGATTCCTGAATTTCGTAGCGCAGAAGCAGCCCTCCAAAGTCACACATACAGAAGAAAACAATGGATTTGAAAACAAATGCAAAGTTTCCTATTTGAGTGGGACTCTAGAGGACATTCCAGTGTAAGATTATCCTTCTTTGATTTAATTCTATGATATACTTCTCCTAGCAAAAGGAAAAGAAGGAGAAATGTAAAAACACATGTAGCTCTATGGGGGCTCAAGTAAAATGGACTGGAAACTTCCTGATGAACTTAGGTCAGAGTTGCACTAATGATCTCTGCAAGTGACATAAATGTACACTGCAGACTGCAGGCAAGAGTTAGAGATTTCAGCAAGGCAGAGTCTCACAGGGTGACAGTGCCTTAGAATGTCACCAAAATGCTGGTCTGGCGCCAGTGCAGATTTAAAAAAACAGATTTGGTCAGTGGGCCCAATGGTCACTCTTAGGAATAGGCTCACAGGTACTTAAATAAGGATAACCTAATATTTAAAGCAAAATGTCAATTTCCCAACTTATAATTGAGGACAAATGTAAGACAGAGCAGAAGGCTAGTTACATTTCTTCCTGGTTTGAAAATCTACATGGGAAATAAGTAAATTGCATTTTAAAATTTAAATGAATTAAATAAAGGAAAGAAGAACATTTCTCGAGGTTTTAAACTGTATATAAATGAGGATGTTGATGAATGATAACGAAGAAATTTTAATGTTGGTATTAAGGGAAACTACAGATATAACTCTAAGTCAAGAATCCTAGTATTACTCATGATCTTCAAATATGGAAAATCCCAAAGAGACAGAAATAGGAAAAAAAAACAAACAAACAAACAACTAAACATTAAGTACCACACTAGATAAAGCAGGACCTGGATGGAGATGTTTGTATGATAATTGTATTCAAAGGACGCATATGAACAAAATACTGAATCTTGTATTTTTATTTTTTTAAAATTTTCTCTATAACGTTCCTACTCACACTAACTTGGTTCTAGCAGAGTACTAAAATATTCAGAAAACAGTAAACAAAGTCTCTGTCTTTCCAGAGCATGAATCTGTATTTGTTTATAATTTCATATTAAAATATAGCAGAAGATAATAATCATTATAAATTTAACGTTCAGGACTGTAGCTCAATTATTATTGGCAAAAGAAACTATAAGGAGTGAATGTTACAACTGTTCTACCCATAATTAGGTTCAAAGAAATAACTTCTGATGCAGCTTCCTAATTTATCAAAAGAAACATTTTAATAGTCTCAAAGTGAAAACACTAAAATCCTCTAACACATTAATCATAGGAAATGACATAAAATGTGTTCTAAAAGCTACAAGTGTACATTCAGTTTTCTATAGACATTTAAAAATGGATCAAGGTAGCTTCATTTCATCTTGAATTTAGATTACAGTAGACAGGAATCTTTGACTTTTATCATTTTCAGTTGGCCATACACAATCAGAGCAAGACATGGAAATGGATTTCTCAGGCTTGAGTAACCAGACCTTCTCCTTTCTTAGAACTGTTTTTCCTACTTGCTGTTTTGAAATTCTAGGCTATCATTTTAGATAAGTTTATGGTAGCTGTTGTAACAGAAAGACCCCTGATGCTCAATGGCTTTCTACAACAGAAGCTTATTTCCAGCCCACATGAATTCCAACTGGTGACAGGTGTGAGTGAGGATGGGCTTCTATTCCATTTAGTCATTCAAGGATCTCTACTCAACAGATTTGATTCTGACATATTTAACTGTTGGTTTCTAAGAGCTAGATATTGACATCCAGCTGGCTAGTAAGAGAAGAAAGAGAAATGAGGGTTGTGTGCTAGGACTTTATGCATCATGCCTGGAAGGGATGCACATCAATTCTGCTCACTTCCACTGACCAGAGCTGAGTCAACGCAGTCTAACCCCAATGGAGGTTGGGAAATGTAGTCTATCCCTGGGTCCAGAGTAAAGAGAGATGGGTGTGATGAGCTGCTAGCTGCTTTCTGCCAAAGCTTCCTTGTTGGTTCACTTTACTACTACATCCTCAGATCTTCCCCCAACTCTCCCAGATCTCAGATTTTGAAAGGTGAAGAGCTCACTCCATCAGAACACAGATCCTATGGGAATTGGCTTTCAGCCCCTATGGGAACTGTAGGCCTAGAGTTCACATCCATCTGCTTTAGGACAAATGGAGGGGCAGCTGGAGAGAAAAATAAGAAAGATCTAGGCAAGAGGATCTTACTTTCTTCCCAAATTGGTGGCCTGTTAGCATCCTACATAGTTTTGTTCATTTATGAGACTCAGCTTACAATGAAAACATAAATCAATGCCATTTTTGTCCTTTTATCAAAAAGCAAAATGCCTTGCTGACAGAGTACTGTCAGTGTCATCTTTCTTATTCCAATCATTTGTTTTCCTCCTCTAGCTGGTAGCACAGGCCAATCCTCTGTTCACGATGAAGTGAGAATGTCATCAGCATAAGCGCTATTTCAAGTCAGGGGACATTAGTTTTCAATGGATGTGTACCATTTCTCTTCTGTTTCCTGCTGACACAGGTTGGCTCTTCTGGAAAGACCTGAAGTTGTTCTTCAGAGCTGAATTGGTGAGTTTTCTGATGAAGCTTATTAATCAGTGCTTGGCAGGAAACCAGACAGCAAAATACATCATAGAATCCAAGACCAAGGCACATTAAAATGCCAGACGCTAAGGCACCGGACTATTCTTACCTTACACGAGTCAGCCTCTAAACTACTCTATCACACTTGTGTCTCTTTGGTGGCTGACTTTTAGGAGTATCCTTTGCTTTAGGGAGTGCTTGGTCAGTGTGACATCTTCTGTTATTAGATGGAAAATTTGACTAAAAAAGGAAAGAACAAATGATA